CACAGGGGCCTGCTCTGTTTAATCTGAAGGCCCCGAGCAAGTTTAATTTACCTGGCAACGCAAGCTAGCTGAAATATGATTGGTTAAAAACTCTACCATAATAAATAAGTTATTTATCGAGTGGCTTTCAATGTTATTTAAAATAACTCATTCAACTAAGTGGAAATAATATGACGTAAAGAATACAGAGAATAATTTTGTTTTCATATTTATGAAAATAAAATAACATAAATTATAAAATAACATAAAATACATAAAAGTAAATTTACTTTTCTGAGAATGTTTAGGCCAGCAGAGAAGGCCTTGCTGGCCCTCAGGGTCCGCCACTGGGTAAAAATGACACAGCATTTGATAAAAAGAACATTCTGCCAACAGTGAAGCATGGTTGTGGCAGTGTGATGGTCTTTCCTTGGGTTGTCTGTGTGTCATATAAAAATTGGTTTGATAAACTGAAACCTTTGTGTGTGATAAATATGAACAGAAATCAGGAAGCGGGCAAATACTTCCTCACAGCACTGTACATTCTGTATACACACTACCCTTCAAAGGTTTGGGATCACTTAGAAATTGCCATTCATTTGTTTTTAAAACAAAATGATTTTTTCAGTGACCGCAAACTTTTGAATGGTAGTGTAGACGGTACAGTGGTCGACTGGTTAGCACGTCTGCCTCACAGAGCAGAGGTCATGGTTTGATTCCGGGCCCTTCCTATGTGGAGTTTGCATGTTCTTCCCATGACTGTGTCGATTTTCTCCGGGCACTCCACTATCCTCTCACATTCCAAAAAAATGCACAGTAGGTCAATTGATTACTCTAAACTGTCCATCGGTGTGACCGTGAGTGTGAATGTTTGTTTGTCTATGTGTGCCCTGCGATTGGCTAGCAACCAGTTTTGAGTGTACTCCACCTCCTATTTGAAGTCAACTGAGATAGTTTGCACCACGCTCGCGAGCCTCGTGAGGATAAAGCGGTTCAGATAACGGATGGATTATATATTGTGAACTATGCTATATTGAAGTGTGGAGGTTTGAAGATGAAGTTTTAATGATATTCCTTACTTTAGTAATAACGGGATTCATCCTCAAATGCCCAAAATGCCACTGTCTCTCTGGAGTGCCACGTATTATGTTGCGATCTTGTGTTTTATTTTTGCAATTTGACAGTGATGGAATTGAAATGCCACTGATTTACACCAAATAAAGTTCAAATGTTCTATTATGCTTTTCCTGACAATTGCTTTTTGGCAGAAGACTCCCACTTCCTTCTGAGGGCTGCAGCAACAATCCCAGTTGCTATTCAGTTAATTACACATTTAAAACAAACACATTTAGATTTCTATCCATTTTCCGATCCGCTTTATCCTCACAGGGGTCGCGGGGATGATGAAGCCTTCTCGCTAGCCCTAGTACGCAGACGAGAACAAGTCAGGATACAGGATACAGATCACGAGTCTAGACTCGTGATCTGATGGGCTATTGAAACCTGACTGTGCCCGTTCACTTACAGCGCACAGGGGCCTGCTCTGTTTAATCTGAAGGCCCCGAGCAAATTTAATTTACCTGGCAATACAGCTAGCTGAAATATGATTGGTTAAAAACTCTACCATAATAAATAAGTTATTTATCGAGTGGCTTTCAATGTTATTTAAAATAACATTGAAAGCCACTCAACTAAGTGGAAATCATATAATGTAAAGAATACAGAGAATAATTTTGTTTTCATATTTATGAAAATAAAATAACATAAATTATAAAATAACATAAAATACATAAAAGTAAATTTACTTTTCTGAGAATGTTTAGGCCAGCAGAGAAGGCCTTGCTGGCCCTCAGGATCCGCCACTGGTAAAAATGACACAGCATTTGATAAAAAGAACATTCTGCCAACAGTGAAGCATGGTTGTGGCAGTGTGATGGTCTTTCCTTGGGTTGTCTGTGTGTCATATAAAAATTGGTTTGATAAACTGAAACCTTTGTGTGCGATAAATATGAACAGAAATCAGGAAGCGGGCAAATACTTCCTCACAGCACTGTACATTCTGTATACACACTACCCTTCAAAGGTTTGGGATCACTTAGAAATTGCCATTCATTTGTTTTTAAAACAAAATGATTTTTTCAGTGACCGCAAACTTTTGAATGGTAGTGTAGACGGTACAGTGGTCGACTGGTTAGCACGTCTGCCTCACAGAGCAGAGGTCATGGTTTGATTCCGGGCCCTTCCTATGTGGAGTTTGCATGTTCTTCCCATGACTGTGTCGATTTTCTCCGGGCACTCCACTATCCTCTCACATTCCAAAAAAATGCACAGTAGGTCAATTGATTACTCTAAACTGTCCATCGGTGTGACCGTGAGTGTGAATGTTTGTTTGTCTATGTGTGCCCTGCGATTGGCTAGCAACCAGTTTTGAGTGTACTCCCCCTCCTATTTGAAGTACACCAAATAAAGTTCAAATGTTCTATTATGCTTTTCCTGACAATTGCTTTTTGGCAGAAGACTCCCACTTCCTTCTGAGGGCTGCAGCAACAATCCCAGTTGCTATTCAGTTAATTACACATTTAAAACAAACACATTTAGATTTCTATCCATTTTCCGACCCGCTTTATCCTCACAGGGGTCGCGGGGATGATGAAGCCTATCCCAGCCAGCTGTCTTCGGGCAGTAGGCGGGGGACACCCTGAACCGGTTATCAGCCAATCGTAGGGCACACATAGACGAGATTTCTTACAGAAAATAAAAATTCCACTCTTGCCTTTGTTTGTTTGTTTTTTTGTTCCTGCCTTGGAACTGATGACTATGGAAGGTTAAGAGACAAAACCCGCTTTATCCTCACAGGGGTCGCGGGGATGATGAAGCCTATCCCAGCCAGCTGTCTTCGGGCAGTAGGCGGGGGACACCCTGAACCGGTTATCAGCCAATCGTAGGGCACACATAGACGAGATTTCTTACAGAAAATAAAAATTCCACTCTTGCCTTTGTTTGTTTGTTTTTTTGTTCCTGCCTTGGAACTGATGACTATGGAAGGTTAAGAGACAAAATTAAATAAATAAATAATTTGATATAAAAACAATTTTGATAAATAACAAATATGCAATATGACCATTCATGTGTAAAATAAGGTAATATGAATTATGTTCTTAATATTTTAATGTCTAATTATTATAATTTTATTGTAATTAAATACTTCATAATTATTTTAATGTCATACTTTTAAAAATAATAACTTGTTATTTATTTTTCAACCTTTTATGAGATTACAAAAAGTTGTTTATTTATTTATTTTACAAAGTCAGTTTTTATTTTATCATGTCCTTTTCCACATTGGCCCTTTTTTCCTGAATGCAGTTTTTCAGCGCACAAACTGCTACTTCAATCCAATCACGTGACGCGGACCCAGTTAAGTGATTGGCTATAATAGTGATGGGAATTCCGGCTCTTTTTAGAGAGCCGGTTCTTTTGGCTCGGCTCACTAAAAAGAGCCGGCTCTTTCGGCTCCCAAATGGCTCCTCAGTTTTTTTGTTGCTTAAATTAGTTTACTCCCAAAAATAATGTAAAATTATGTGTAAAATGAATTACGAATGTAAAAAATATACAGTATATCAAATATTTATTATTTATATGGCTTTATATTCTTCTGAACATACTCAACATGGCGTACAACATGGAGTGCTACAAAAAAATAAATTACAAAGTACAAAAACAAAGACCCATCTCAAAACAAGGTCAACAAAAAGTTCCAATCTCTGATTGTGCATATTTATAAGTGTTTAAATATTTACAGTAAAACAACATAAGTAAGCTTTGATTACCACACAACAAATTATCAATTAAAATTTGATATTGGATATTTTAACCTTGCACAGTCTACACGCTGCCTTTGAACTATCAATTCAGTTGAAATCAGTCCAAATTTCATTGCGTTGCCTATCCATTTTCTCACCTTTCCACTTTCCACCGTGTAGTTTTTTCTCTGTACTGTAGCGCTATATCGAGCTCTCTCTCGTCTCCCTGTCTCTCCTGTTCGTGTGCTGCTCACAGTGTGCTGCTGTTTCTCTGACTCCTCCCCCTTCTCTTCACTGAAGCGCGCGCGTGTGTCTGCGTGTGCGTGCGTGTGTGTGTGTGTGTGTGTGTGTGTGTGCGTGTGCGTGTGCGTGCGCGTGCGTGCGTGTGTAACCCTCTCCTCCCTCTTCTACCACGGATCTTGACCAATCACGTGCGGCTTTAACCGAAAGGGAGAAAAAACAGCAGGAAAAAAAAAAGTCGGCTCCCATTAAAGCGGCTCCCTCTTAGGAGCCGGCTCATGTCGTTCACTTCAAAGAGCCGGCTCTAAGAGACGGCTCGTTCACGAACGACACACCACTAGGCTATAATGCTTTACATGAGCAGACATGAGGAGCAGGAGTTGTGTCGATCGAAGCGTGCAGACCCCTGAGGGCGATGAAACAGAATGGCTGTGGAAGAGAAGTCAGTTTCAGAGTTACTCAGATAAGTTGCCAATGGTTTGCATAATAAATTAAGGCCTTTAGCACGCTCAGATAGATTCCATAGATGACACTCCTGTGAGGTAGATGGCGGTATAAAACTCAACGCTGGTTGCTAACCACCATTCAATGCAAACATGAGGAAGTTAAGACTACGTTTACATTGAGTCAATGATGATATCGGGCTTCTTCACAATCTTTGCAAATGGAGAAAACCTTTAGTGAGTGGAAGAAACGGTGTCTGAACAAATGTGACATAAGTAAGAAAGGAAATGTGGATGAAGATATTGAGCACTTGGTGTCTTTGCTCAATAGCTTCGAGGAGTATTTCACCACCAGTTCATGCTCCGGACGCATTACAGTAATTGACACGGTGAGTGAGCTCTTATTGATTGTATGTTACCGAATACGGCTGTTTGAGCTAACGTTAAAAACACAATTTTATTTGTATTTAGGAAGTGTCGGTAAGAAAGGAAATGTGGATGAAGATATTGAGCACTTGGTGTCTTTGCTCAATAGCTTCGAGGAGTATTTCACCACCAGTTCATGCTCCGGACGCATTACAGTAATTGACACGGTGAGTGAGCTCTTATTGATTGTATGTTACCGAATACGGCTGTTTGAGCTAACGTTAAAAACACAATTTTATTTGTATTTAGGAAGTGTCGGAAATTATCTGACAAATCTAGAAATCACATTGTTATCATTGTTAGCAGGAACGAACTGGGGTGCGATCAATCGGTGTCATTAGAGGTGGGTAGAGTAGCCCAAAAATGGTACAAACGACCAAAATATAAAATGTCCATCCATTTTCTGACCCGCTTAATCCTCACAAGGGTCGCGGGGAGGGGGGGGGGGGGCCGGGGGC